GTGGGAAGCCTGCTTCTCCCTCTCCCACTCCCCCCTGCTTGTGTCCCTCTCTCGCTGTGTCTCTCTGTCAAATAAATAAACAAAATCTTTTTTAAAAAAAAATGAGTATTATACAGAATTACCAATAATTCTTTGGATGAAGTCCCAAAAATGTTTTGAGTGACTTTAGGTAAGCAGTCCATAGTGTAGAATTATATGAAAGAATCTCTTTATTTTTTCTTGTAAGGTATATATGTACTTGTTTTAATAAATGCTAATTTCAGTGATAGAGCATGTTTAAGAATTTTTTTCACTTAAACTTCAATTGGTGCATTTTCCTTGGGACAAAAAGGAAATTGAACAGGTAAGGATGAAGGGCAGGAGAAAATATATTGGTCCCTGGTCATAAGTAGTGGAGGGATACACATTTATTTTCTGAACGGATTAACTTATTCATTTATTCAACAAAAATTGGTGAGGACTTCTACTACGTGCCAGAAACTATGGTAGGTCCTGTGGATACACAGGAAATAAAACACACATAACACTTTCATGAAACTTATTCTCTATGGGGGAGATTAGGAAAATAATTGTACAATTAACTATATCATGTGATTATGAAAATTCTGCTCTGGGTAAAAGGAGTATTTAATCTATCAGGGAGTCGTGGAAAGCCTACCCAGTGAAGTAACGTTTAAGCTAAAACTTCACAGATAAGTAGACGTTAGCTAACCTGGGGTGAGAGATGGGGATGAATCAGAAAATAAGCGCAAAAGCCCTGAGACAAAAAGAACTTTGTATGTTCAAGGAAGAGGGGAAAAGTCAGAGAAGTTAGAGCTTGGTGAGCAGTGTGAAGAGTGAATGGAATCTAGAGAGACAGCAAGGACCAAGTTATCAGAAAGCCAAGGAAGCATTTTGAGTAAAGGAGTTATAGCATACAGATGCAGAAATCTGCTAAGAGTTCAGCATTGGCAGCCAGCCTTCTTTAAACATGGGCAAGTGATCCTATATTTGAAAGGTAGAAAAGAAGGTTTTGCTGGGCTTTCTTTTTGGAAGTAGCTGTCATGGATGCTGACTAATCTGGCTCTTTCCTTTCTATTACCTCTGGAGTTCCATGGGTATAGGGATCAAAAGAAAACTAATTCCACTGGATCTTTTTACTCCAGGACCCCTCAAATGAGAACAGAATTAGAAGAAAGATACCACTGGCACAGTCAACAAGAAGGAAAACCCTAGTCTTGAACTCACTGGAGATTTTAATTCTAATTTTGGTGTGTGATGGTACAGACCTGTCTTGTGATAATAGAGGTTTTTCAATACTTTTTTCTCTTGCATGTAATCACTTAAGAATAGATGTTAATATATGGGGCACCTGGGTGGCACATTTGGTTAAGCGACCAACTCTTGGTTTCTGCTCAGCTCATGATCTCAGGGTCGTGAGCTCGAACCCCACATTGAACCCTGCATCAGGCTCCCCACTCAGCACTTAAGTTTCTCTCTCCCTCTGCCCCTCCCCACCCATGTTCTCTCTCCCTCTCTCAAAATAAGTCTTGTTTTTTTTTTT